CCATTGATATTACAAGACGTCTTTTATTTTCACTAAATTAGAACTTAAGGTAACTAAAATTAAGTGCTGTTCTGATTTACCAGGCCATTATATATAAAGATTTTATTCAATCCACTTATAAAATCCATTTATTAAGTATCCATTTAGGTCTCTAAATAGTGATATACTATAGTATTTTAATAAATATTGTTTATTAAGTCAGATGCACATTTTAGAGTACTTATATATGAAATATTAGCAACCCTAACAAGTTTTTAACAATAATTCTGAATCTGTAGTTTAAAACAGCTTGGCAAGGCTAGCAATGGCATAGTGGTTAAGGTGCTGGACTCCCACATGGGTGACCACATTTTGAGTCCCAGACCTGGAGGATTAAAACTCATGCTGGATGAGTGTGCGTGCGTGCCCCAAGTCCCAAGAAGCAAATGAAGGAGAAGGGATTGTACCATGGCCATCTTTTTGGGGGAGTGATTTCTCACTTTCTATCTGTATCTCTCTGGCAAGCACATACACCCTATCACAAAAATCTCTTTTAAAGAAAAAAGTTTGGCATACAGTGATATACAATATGATTTACATTTTTGAATAAAATTTAAAAAAATTTTAACCTACTTTTCATTCATGTTTCCTTAAGCTATAATGTATTCAAATTTAATTTACATTGTATTTCTTACACATTATACTGTCCTCCATACCACCCATGATAATATGTGTAAGTTATTCATGATATCACCAAACTTTCTTTCTGAAATTTTCATCTTTATGGTTTCAGAATTCATTTTTTGTTATCACTGTGTACTCTTTGCTAAGATCTAATCATTAAAGTTTATTTCAAACTAAGATAAAGTTTCAAAAAGGGTCTTTTAAAAGTCATCTCCAACTGGGACCAGCAGTTAGCAGAATGGCTATGTCGCTGGACTCCCATGTAGTCGACGGCGGTTCATGTCCCGGACCTGGTGGCTTAAAACTCACGCTGGGTGCATGTGCGTGTGTGCCCAAGATCCCAAGAGGAGAATGGAGGAGAAGGGATTGCGGTATGGCCAACCCCCTGGGGGGGGATTTATCGCTTTCTGTCTCTCTGTCTGTCTCTGTCTATCTGGCGAGAGCACACACCCTATAGCAAAAAAACTCAAAAAAAAAAAGTCATCTCCCATTGTTCCATCTCCTACATTTTTTTATTACCATGAATACTTCAAGATTTATAAACAGTAAAATTAAATAGATAATAATTGGGATAATTGAATCTTTTTTTTTTTTTAGAAGATGGATAATGGGATAGAAGAAACTTGTTCTGATTTGGAAACATTTTTAATGAATTAATTCTATTTCTCTTCAAAAGACTGAGTTTCTCAAAGCACTATATTCTAGACATTTAAAATTTTCATTATTCGCAATACCCAATACCAAATCTTACATTCTTTATCATTTGTTTAAAGAGTATATTTTATGTTGCTCATGTAAATACAGCCTAAAACATTTGAAGAATAACTAATATTGTAAAATAAAAATTATTTTTTAAATAAATTTTTTGAGAGATTTTTGCTCACTGGAGAGATAGAGACAGAGAGACAGAAAGGAAGAAATCACTTCCCTAGGGAGAATGACCATGATGCAATCCCTTCTCCTCCATTCTCTTCTTGGAATTTTGGGCATGCATTGCACATGTGCATAGCATGAGTTTTAAGCCTACCCGTCTGGGACTCAAACTGTAGTCGACTACATGGGAGTCCAGTGATGTAACCATTATGCCATCTGTTGGTCCCTTAAATAATAATTTTAAGTAATATATTGTTGACCAGTCTTCCCTATCCCCTCATTCTGCTTCATTTTCTTCTCAGAGCTCCTCACTGCTGACCCTGTATTCTTTGTTGACTAGTTTAGTTTTAAGCCACCGGGTCCGGGATGCGAACCGCGGTTGACTATGTGGGAGTCCAGCGACATAGCCATTATGCTAACTGCTGGTTCCCTAGTTTAGTTTTATATTGTGTCTTCTTCAATAGAATACATTTAATGAAGTATCATTGATCTCTCAACTGGGAATCTGCTCAAATTAATTGAAACTGTTCATTTTGCTTCTAATTTTATTGGGCTTCTAACCATGCACTCCACGATTCTTGTGTATAAGTTTCTTAATAATGTATGTAAATGTTTTCCGTTAGTTCAGAAATAAGATGGGATTTTTCAGTAATTTGAAGATGTCACAAAATAACATTTTTTGGTCTTTGCTATAACTAAAATTTCTTTTCAAGGACAGATAAACATGTCAAGTCGTAGTCTACTTATTACTTTGCATCAATCAATTACAGTATTCTGATATTCTGTCATTTCTGTCTCAGTAATATCTGTCAGAAACATCCTCAGTTCGACCCATGACTCCTGTTTTAACTCAGGTCTTTGCGATTTCTCACTGATAAATTGAATGATATGTTTAGTAAACTATAATAGTATTTGGGGAGCAGTTTCTCAAGGTTGGGTATGTAACAGTGTACAAGATCAATGTCAGCTGTGCTTTTATGGAGCTTTTACTTTCTCTCTTGCTGCATTAGGCTCTTAATTTTTAGCCATCAACTTGTCCACCCCTCTACACAATCTCTATACCATCTCTACTCTGATTCTTAAACTCCTTTATTGATCTTCTTTTAAATTCCAAATGCTTTGCATGTACAAGGGCTTCATGATAACGGTTCCTCTGACATACATATATATATATATATATATAATTTACTGTAGAGTGTGTATATTTGCCAGAGAGAGACAGAGAGAGGGAGAGACAGAGGGAAAGTGAAAAAGCACCCACCACAGAGGGGATGATCACACTGCAATTCATTCTCCTCCATTCAATCTCTTGGGATTTGGGGCATACATGGACACTTGCCTGCCATGTTTTATCAAGCTGTTGGGTCCAGGGCTTGAACTGTACAATAAGCCATGTGGATTCCAGCCACCTTCACCTTGCCACCAGCTGGCCATAGGCCTATTTAAGACCCAGCCCAGTTTAACTGTTTTTCCCATCGTTTTTAGACTGGCGTAGTTTATCTTATGTATACCCAGGGTACTTTAGCGAGACTTCCATTATAGTAGTAATGGTATTCTAAACATTATTTTTCTCTATTTTGACCTTGAACAAATGAATGAAACCCTTAAACAGAACTACTGTGGTGAATGTATAACTCTAACAATGGCTAGAAGAATATTTAACTTGCTTTATCATTACTCATTAAATATTAATTATAAGCCTAGGAATCTGTGGGTCCTAGATAGCCAAACATAATAAAAAGGTGTTTTTGGCTATTACATAACTATTTGAGGAATAAATTAAGATAATCAACAACTTTCTGGTAAGTTATTTGGAGAACGGTGCTTTGGAAAGTCAGGGGTATTAAAGAAAAATTTGTTTCCAAACTACAGCAATCTTGTCTGGCTCTGACACTTGGTTGGGAGTATATGCTTAATGTTCCTGTAGTGGCATGAATTTTTCAGAAAGTCTCAGAGTCTAGTCATCATAGTCTTGAGCAAAGTGGATTCACTTTGGGGTGATTTCTGTGTATTCATTGGGCAATTCATGGAATTCGTAGGGAAGAACTGGTACAAAAGAAGGGTTCTTTTCTCTGGTATTCTCTTTTACTTTTCTTGCACAGATTTTTGGTAGTCTTTTGTGGATTTTGTAATAAATTTTGTGTTTACATTTTCTTAAAAGTATTCCTTTTTTCATTGCTTTAACTTTTTAAAAACTAATTATTCTTGGAAATGTTTCTTTTTCTCTTCATTTTATGGTGCCGAGTTTTATGTGAAGGGCATAGAAGACATTACATTCCAGGACAGGATGAAAATCTCTTTTGCTAATCAGTTTTGTTTTCGTTTTGTGTAAATGTATAGACAGGATGCAAAAGACAGCACAGTTAATTAAGCAAATGCCTGATTTTCAAGATTATAATAATATATAGGCTTGGAATTGAAAACAAAAGAAACAGATTTTTGAAAGTGTAGGAGTTTTGTGTGTTTATTTTTTAAGCATTCTTTTGAGCCCTCTGGCTCAAAAGAATTACTTTTTGAGCCGGAAATGCAATGCTGTATCTTTGAAATTTGAAAGTTGCTTTTAAGCAGTACCATTCATACTGCAGTTCATACCAGGAAAGTGTGCCCGTCATATGTACGTATTCAGTAGGCTGTTTTTTACTTCCAGACGTGTTAGATTCCGTAGGTTGCATAAGTAGGCTAGAACAGTATGAAAACAATATGAAAAAAACATATGATTTAACGTGGTGGAGATACCAATGACTAATTACTATGGTCTTAAAGATCTTTTATATGCAGAGGAGATTCAACTTTAAAACATCCTTAGTTAATATGGAAAATGTGTAATATACATTTACAAATCCACTGTCATATATTCTGGGTTTTCATATTTACAAAAAAAAAAAAAACACAAAGAAAAAAATCCCACAAAGTCGAAATATAATCCATAAAATACACTGTAAGTGTATGTGAGAAGTTCATGAGCAACGCTTAAACTTAATTGATATCCTTAGACATATATAAAACATACAGCCACTGAACTGAAAACATGAAAATTAACGTGTCACCATTTTAGCTAACACTGTGCCTTGCCCAGACCCTGCTGTTTATTATTGTGTGCTTTAGAAGGAGACAGAAGCAGTATCATTTGGAAACACACTTCCTAGTGGATTGAGAACAGCAGGGCATCTAAATAGGAAATCTGGTTCTTTGGTTTCTTTGTTCCTAGGTAGGCCAGTCCCAGCTATTTTACCTGAACATTTTACATACAAATGCAGTCCAGGGACGTGCACTTGGCAGCTGTTCATGGGATAATAATGAAATGCATATTTACTACTGCATGCTGTTGGTGTAAAATGTGGGGAGTATTTTATAGAGATCTTGGGGAGCAGAACTGTATTCATTTTTAAGTTTAACAAATGTGTGGATGTTAGTGTGGATTTCGTATTTTCATTATGAAAATAACTAGTATGCTTTTCTTACAGGTAAAGAAAACGTGCACAGAATCAGATGTTTCAGAACCTCAGAATTCCAGGTACAGTAAAATAAAGCCAAGACTCCAAAACAAACCGCAATATGGAAAAACTAGTAGGATGGTATATCTCAGATAAAGCTGCATTGAAACATTGAGTTTCTTTAAGAATGCATCTGTATGCAAATTATATATCCTATTAGCTAGGACGTCATTAATTATTCATAAAAAAGAGAACTGTAATTCGAAGTCAGTTTTGAAGACTAGTAGAAACATCTCCAGAAATACTTGGAAGGATATTTCCTTGATAGTCATTGTTTTGAGTTAATTTTTTCTTTTCTTTTTTTTTTTGTAATTTCTTCTTATAATGTAGTCCCATCTGAAATTGTGCCAAGCACTGAATACCTGTTAAATCTTTGTTGACCAGAAAAACAAACAAGTAACAACTACAATATTTTGTTTCCTTTCCAAAGGAATATTGCTAGATTTTGAGAAGGCTGTCAAATTAGAAAACTCAGTGTTAACTTAATATTCTCTTTCTGGTTACTTGGAACTTGTAGAAAAAATGAATTAAAGTGGTCAGGTTACTTCATACAGGAATTTAGCACCATTTAGCTGTTTGTGGTTAGACCAGATGCCTTCAGATTTTTTTAGGTTTACACATTTTCATTGCTTTCATGTCAAAATCCAGGCGTCAGTTTTAAGTGGACAAGTAGAAGTATTTTAAATGCCATGAAAACAACAAACATATGCTTTTAATATGATATTAATGATATGACTTAACCTATTACATTAAGAAATTTGTTTTTAATTCTGAGGTTGGTCTTAGTTTATTTTATCTTACTTATTCCAGGATATGATGTATATAGTGATTTTCTTGGTACAATAAAATGATACAGATAAAATATTAATAGCTACCATGTTTTCCTTTTTGGAGACCAAATAGGTATTAAGTACGGTTCATTTATAGCTTGAGTAACTCTTCCTTTCTTTGATACAGTAAAGTTTTTCTGTAATTGATTACTACACATAATAAAATTAAAATAATTTTATATGATTTTTTTCCTTTGGATCATTAAAAGCATATAATATGGAGTCTAGTAGGTGGCATGGTGGTTAAGGTGCTGGACTCTCATATGGCAACCACAATTCTAGTCCCAGACCCAGTGGCTTGAAAAATCACATCGAGTGTGTGTGCATGCATGTTCAAAATTTCAGGAGGAGAGTGGAGGAGAAGGGATTGCAGGGTGACCATCACTCCTGGGGGAGGGGGTAATTTCTCATTTTCTGTCTGTCTCTGGTGAGCCCATGTGTCCTATGGTAAAAACCCATATATATATATATATACACCCATTATATATATAATGGTGTGTATATATCATTTTATATATATCATTATATATATATATAAAATGATTCTTGACAGTTAATCTTTCTTTTTTATAATTAGCTTCAAAATGGAACCAAATAATTCTAACTTAAAAGAACATTGGGAAATAGATGAACCATTACATTTTCCTCTACACAGCAGAGCACTTTTAGAATGTGGAGAGAGAAAGGAAGACCAGAATTCATTCCTTGTTGGCACTTCTTTTCTAATCATTTTACCCACCTCTGTGAATGACCTACGTATGGCTTGCTTTGCAAGGATTATATAAGTAATTAGATAATTTTTATAAACAGCTGGTCTTGAGGGTTAGTTGGAAAAACAGAGCAATATAATCATCCTTATTATTAATAGTTCATGTCAGCTTTTTTACCCTTGAAGCCTCTCTGGATTTTTGGATAGATAATATTATGCTTAAGTAAATTCTAAACATTCGGAAACCACCAGACTGTCTCAGTGTTCACAGTTGATACTTAAAAGAAGAAACAGGAAAGAGTTCAGAGCTCAGTGTATTTAAGCCTGAAATTATATCCTCCTTTTTTTTTATCTAGAAAATCACAGCCCACATAGCCTTGCCCTTGAAAGTACAATTTTATGGGAACCAGCAGTTAGCGTAATTGCTATGTCGCTGGATTCCCACGTAGTCGACCGTGGTTCACGTCCCAGACCCGGTGGCTTAGAACTCACGCCGGGCGTGTGTACATGCGTGCCCAAGATCCCGAGAGGAGAATAGAAGAGAAGGGATTGCGGCGTGACCATCCCCCCTGGGGGGTGATTTCTCGCTTTCTGTCTCTATGTCTCTCTCTGTCTGTCTGGCGAGTGCACGCACCCTATGGCGAAAACCTCTCAAAAAAAAAAAAAAGAAAGTACAATTTTACTTTTAAGATAAATGCTATTGTTAAATGATTATTTAAAATATATTTTATCATTTAATAATATATGTCTGTTAATTAAAATGTGGTTGGAATTCTTGTAAATCAGCAGTTGGTTTTATGGATTAGCCTCTTCTTAAGTTTTACTAAATTTAACAGAATGAGTGAAATTAGGCAAATCAGTTTTAAAATATCTAAAGCTTTGTGATATCAAAAACAGCAAATAAAGTAGTCTTTAATAAAATCTGAGCTGGGAAGGTCTACAAGATGACCTAAAGTCATTTATTGGTTCAGAGTTGCCTAGACATTTCGGTAAAAGTTGGACTCTTCTTCCCACCTCCAGTGCAATGCCTATTTTTCACATTCTTGTCAATTTCACAAACATAAATATGTGACGTTTCTTGAATCCTGTATTTATTCACTGGTGTTAGACCTAGGAGTGCCAGACCTGGCACTTAGTTAATGTAATGGTGGAGTACCAAGAAAAGAATAAAAATAGGCTAAAGAATATTCCACACACACACAAATGAATAAATAAAATTGAAAAATACTCTATACTTACTGGGACCAGCAGTTAGTGTAATGGCTATGTCGCTGGACTCCCATGTAGTCGACCGTGGTTCAGGTCCCAGCCCCGGCAGCTTAAGCTCACGCCGGGCACATGTGTGTGTGTGCCCAAGATCCCAAGAGGAGAATGGAGGAGAAGGGATTGCGGTGTGGCCATCCTCTCTGGGGGGTGATTTCTTGCTTTCTATCTCTCTGTCTCTCTCTGTCTTTCTGGCGAGCACATGTGCCCTATGGTGAAAACTTATCCAAAAAAATAAAAAAATACTCTATACTTACTCAGTAGTCAACGAATCAAGGAATGCTTAGTATTTATTATGTGCACGTTTAGCTTTTATAACCTACTAAGAAAATAAACAAACATACAAGCCAAACAACAAAACCTTTATTATAAACACAAGGCAGCAATACTTCAGTACATACGTACATTCATTTTTTACTCATTAAGAATCACAAAATTTCATATTCCCTTGTCCAGTCTGCTCACTGTGTGTGTGTGTGCACGCACACGTTTGTGTGCATTAGAGAGAGAGAGATACAGATTAAGACTGATATTTAAGGGAACCAGCAGTTATCGTAATGGCTATGTCGCTGGACTCCCACGTAGTCGACCACGGTTCGTGTCCCGGACCCAGTGGCTTAGAACTCATGCTGGGCGCGTGTGCGTGCGTGCCCAAGATCCCGAGAGGAGAATGGAGGAGAAGGGATTGCGGCGTGACCATCCCCCCTGGGGGGTGATTTCTCGCTTTCTGTCTCTCTGTCTGTCTCTGTCTGTCTGGCGAGCGCACACGCTCTATAGCGAAAACCTCTCCCCCACCAAAAAAAAAAAAAAAGACTGATATTTAAAACCTGGGGCTAAGTAATTCTGTTCTAAACAAATCTTGAAGAATTGAGCTCAAAATGAAATATTGTATCAGCATAAAATTCAAGTTAGAGACCCACTGCCTTACAAAATGCTGCCTCACTTGGAACCTAAGCTAATATCGTTCATTTATTTAGCTAGCTATGGAGTGTGTTGGTTTTGGACTTGAAATGATTAGAATAAATGCAGATGGAAAGTGTTTTTACAGTAGGGAAGTAATTAAATTGGGTGTGGAGACTTTGTCAGGAGATTTCTTGGAGTGACATATGTGTATCAGCAAATTCTTTGTCTTGCTTGGCCTAATTCCTCTTTTGGAAAGAAATGCGTGGACTGCAGATGTAACCATTAGATGGGTAAAAGAAAACTTACAAACCCATGCAAGATAAGTAAGGGAAAACTGTCTTTTGTAGAAAAAGACTAAAAACCATACATCAAGGATAGCGTGTTCTGTTTTCTAAAACTATTTCATTTGATGTCAAATCGAAAAGGATATAACATACTTCATGTAAAAACTGGCATTCCTTAAATGTTTTCCTTTTTTTCTTTTTTGATTTTACTTTGTTCTGTGTCCAGAATGTACTATTATTGGTCTTTTTTCCTAAAACTGTTCATTATAAAGTCATTATTTGAGAAAAACTGAAATTTTTATCTTCTATTTTATCTTGTCCTAAAATTAAATTTATTACTAGGCAATAAACTGAAACACTATTTTTGCATAGATTTTTTTCCATATTCAGGATAAATTTGTGTAAATTCGTGTTTTGAGTTATTACTGAAAATATTTGGTTCTTATTTAATATTATATGTAGCTTATGGACAAGTGAGTTTTAATTTATTATATATTAATTCACTGTATATCATTTCAGCATACAAAATGAATTTCTTCTTATCCAGAATGCACTGAATATTGGCTCAATCAATATTAGCATACTATTATCTTCAAAAGATACTTTTTTATTTTGTGTTTCTTAGCTATATTACTTCTTTCTTTTTCCCCCATGATTCCCTCCCTCTCACTCTCTGCCACTTCCCATCCTCCTGCCACACTGTCTCTGGTACCACATTACAAAAAAAAAAAAAAAAAAAAAAAAGAAACCCTCGCAAAAAAAAAAAAAAAAAGAAAGAAACCCTGGCATTTGATAGAAAGTGGACAAATATGGAAGATTTACTGCTAAGTGAAGCAAGTCAGAAAACGAAAGAGAGGCATTGTATATCCCCACTCAATATATACCGAATGTCTGCACACTATGGCAGAACCTGAAATACTGGACAATATGAATATCTTAAGAGTGCTTTTATGTTAGAATAGTCTCCATAATACCTGAATGATTTCTTTGGTGAGCTTCTATTTCCGTTTCTCTTTGCTTTTTCTTTTTGA